TTTTTCTCCCCGGGCATTCACACAAACTGCAAACGAAGTCTTTCACCTTTCCAGTTGTTGACACTTTGCAACCGCCTTGATGGATGTATTTTGACCCTGGATTCTGACCTTGCATTCCGGCTAAATTTACTGCCCTTTCATGCCAGTTCAATTTCCTTTAATTATTACATCTAAATTTCGTGATATTTAATATTTAAAACCAACCTTTATTTCACAGTCACTTTAGTTTTCACTTTTCTAAAATTATTTTACAGATCCAAAGACTTTTCACTCCCATCATGCAATCTCCCATAGTACTTCCGCAGACACAGTGGTGATCGCCAACATATCTACAAATAACCTCGCTCTCAGGAGCTGAAGAATAAAGATACTTAAGACATTACACATAAGGTATAACAAATCATATGACAAAATAATGATAATAACGGTAATAAATCCTAGCTTAACAATTGAACAGAACGATCATATAGTCAGTCGGGTGACGCCGAGGGTCACGCACTGTGTTGCAAAATGGCCGTGTGGTTGAAACTGGGTCATGGCATGACGGGTGAGGAAGACATCATTAAACACTCAAAATCACAATAAAACGGGGAAGTGGTTGCATATTACGGCGTAGCCAACATGGGAAATAAAAAAAACGCCCAATACAAACGACATGGGTTTGAATCACACTAGATACACACTTACCAGAACCGAAGCAATCAGAAACCAGCAATCGTTTTGGCTTTTCCGTTCAACTCATCGGAACACTGGAGTAGTTAAAAAAATGAACACCACTTAACGACCAATGTCGTGGCGTGGTACACAAGCGTGCCATCAAAATAAAACAAAATTAGATTGAAAAGACCGTGGGTTCGAGTCCGGCTCAGAGCTACCGTAAAAACGTAAATCAAATAAACTGAAATCTCTCAAACCGTAAACAAGTAAACAAAGAACGTCGCGAAAAAATAATAAACCTCACAAAACTCCACCATACAAAACTGAATGAATAAATAAATGATAAAATAACTTGCGTCTTAAACTGGACGACGTGCAATTTGTTCAACAGTTTCCAGATTGTGACAAGAGATAAACAAGACCCAAGTCAAGGTAAGTTTTGTTAAAGTGTCGATGGCGTTCCCTAGATTACGAAAACAATTCAGGCAACAGACGAATATCTTCTGTGGTGTTGTGGAATTTATACTGTGTCTGCGGAATTGTTGATTGAGGGATCAAAGTCAGCAGTTAACATTTTGTTAGAAAGTTTCACAATTAAATCAAATATCCAATGATACCAGTATATTTATTTCATTATTTTAACAACTTGCAATGGTGGAAGTTGGTCAAACACAAGTTCTTACACCTAAATAAATATCAAATATTAGTCGACACATTTATTCTCTCAATTTAACAACCTTGTAGAGGTGGAAATTAATTAAACAACAGGTATTTACTCACAAATATAATGGTCAATATTTGTCCATACATTCATTCTGTCAATTTAAGAACTTGTAATTGTTGGAATTAATCAAATGAGAGTTGTCTACAGCAAAATAAGTTTCAAATACTTGTCCATACATTTATTCTCTCAATTTAACAACTTGTAATGGTGTGAAATTATTAAATGAAAGTTGTCTACACCAAAATAAGTTTCAAATACTTGTTCATACATTTATTCTCTCAATTTAACAACTTGTAATGGTGTGAAATTATTAAATGAAAGTTGTCTACACCAAAATAAGTCTCAAATATTTGTCCACACATTTATTCTCTCAATTTAACAACTTGTAATGGTGTAAAATAATTAAACGAGAGTTGTCTACACCAAAATAAGTCTAAAATATTAGTCTATACATTTATTCTCTCAATTTAACAACTTGTAATGGTGTAAAATAATTCAACAAGAGCTGTCTACACCAAAATAAGTCTAAAATATTAGTCCATACATTTATTCTCTCAATTTAACAACTTGTAATGGTGTAAAATAATTAAACGAGAGCTGTCTACACCAAAATAAGTCTAAAATATTTGTCCGCACATTTATTCTCTCAATTTAACAACTTGTAATGGTGGGAATTAATCAAACGAGAGCTGTCTACACCAAAATAAGTCTAAAATATTTGTCCGCACATTTATTCTTTCAATTTAACAACCTGTAATTGTGGGAATTAATCAAACGTGAGTTGTTTACACCAAACTAAGTATTAAATATTTGTTGAGACATTTATTCTCTCAATTTAACAACTTGTAATGGTGTAAAATAATTAAACGAGAGTTGTCTACACCAAAATTAATCTCAAATATTTGTCCACACATTTATTCTCTCCATTTAACAACTTGTAATGGTGTAAAATAATTAAACAGAGTTGTCTACACCAAAATATCTAAAATATTTGTCCGCACATTTATTCTCTCAATTTAACAACTTGTAATTGTGGGAATTAATCAAACGAGAGCTGTCTACACCAAAATAAGTCTAAAATATTTGTCCACACATTTATTCTTTCAATTTAACAACCTGTAATTGTGGGAATTAATCAAACGTGAGTTGTTAAAACCAAACTAAGTATTAAATATTTGTTGAGACATTTATTCTCTCAATTTAACAACTTGTAATGGTGTAAAATAATTAAACGAGAGTTGTCTACACCAAAATTAATCTCAAATATTTGTCCACACATTTATTGTCACAATTTAACCACTTGTTAATAGTGGAAATTACTTAAACGCGACTTGTTTAATCAGTTGACATCAATGCAACTTACCCGCAGACAGTGCACAACAATTATAAACAGGAACGTGTCTTGGCATTAGGGTTAGGGTCGGGTCAGGTATGGGCAACGCAAATGGCAAACACCCAATTGGCAAGATGTACACAAAATTGACAATTTTTTGGACAATTGTAACTCAATAATAGAAATATGTTGTATTTCTATATATATATATACACACTATATAGTCTTATCAAATGCAAACACATCCAGTCAATCAATTGTGGTCTTGTGGTTCAGTTGTCTACACAGTGATCAGGAGGACCCATGCCTGCCAGTATTTTTTCGCAAACACTAATTTGCAATAAAGCTAAATATGAAAACAAATTATTCATTTGCATGACTACCCATATGGTTCAGTGGATATGTACAATGTAGGCAATGTGAGAGATCGCTGGTTCGAATCCAGTACGGTTAGTACGATTTTTGAATGCTAGTGAAAACATTGATCCTATAAGTAGGACTTAAATCCTATTATTTGTGTGAACTCAAAGATTTCAAGTTCAAATCACGGACAGGACACTCCTACAAGACAAGACAAGATATGAAAGAAAAAGAAACATAAACAGGGTCCCTTCTTTTGTATTGACCCCCCTAAGGATTGCTAATTCCCCTTTCTAACTCTTCCCCCAAAAATAATATATCGCCCCTTTTAGAATGTATTGATCCACAAATTAATGAATATTCATGAGCACAGAAACTGCTAGGTCATGAATAAATTAGCATAATTTTAAAAAAAATTGCTTAAAATGTAGGTACTCCTTCTGGAGTCCTGCCCATTCCCCTTATGTTTTTTTTTTGTTTTTTTTCAGAATCAATCTACCATGGCCAGCAAAATAAATTACTTTCGACGAGGTGGGTATAACTTTAAATGCTGGCGTGACACTGCGTATGCGGCTGATATAACAACCCAGATGTGGTGATACACATCGGGTCCACAGTATGTTGGAATGTAAAGCATTTTCTATAAGTAATCATGTCGCCTCAAGTCATCATCATCAAGTTTATGCTAGCAGGCACCACTTTGAGTTAGGATAAGCCTGGAGGTCTGAGGGATATGCCATGACAGACAAGTGTTGTCACCAAGCTTGAAAAGGGGACGATAGTTGCTAATTTCTGCTTTCTATTCGACCCGTTTCCTTTACATCTCCAACATTTTCAACAGATATCAGTGAAACTTGGCAGGTTGATGAACAAGTCTCTGTTGAATATGCACGTAAATTCTATTCCAGATTTGAAAATCCAAAGTGGGTCTTTTTCATGATTTTCATCCAAAATTACCTCTCCCAACAACACTGAGGGAGCAACTGAGCATGCTCAGAATAAATAATTAGATTAGATATAGATGGGTAGATAGATAGATAACAGCTTTATTATAACCGTGTAGAAAATTTTACATTTCTAATTTGGTGTTTAAAATGCAATAAAGTTAAGGTAGAGATGCAGGTTCATGGGCACTTGGGAGTGAAATTTGTTTGTGTTGCTTTTTATTATCCAAACAGTCTTGGCTATAAACTGTTAACATTTTGTAGAATTGTGAATAGTGGAACATACCCAAAAAACGATTTTAAAATATAGATAACAGGTGCAAACATTATCTTTTTGGAATGCTTATGATACCATACTTGTTTTGATGAGTTTACAGCTGATATTGTGAAAGGTAACGTTTATTCCTTAGTACAATGTATTGCTGTCAGTGATTGGTTGAAAGTGGTTGCCGGCGCATTGCACGCAAATAATAGTTGTGGTAATCTGTCGTGTTTTGCATGACATTCAGTTCAAATAGTGTTTACTTATTGTAGGTTATAAATCATAAGCCGACTATTGTTCTATTAATTAAAACGAAACAGTATTTTATTATAATAGCTATGTAGATGAGATTTGAGATCATTATTCATTATTTTTATTTGGGAACTATTTACTTGTGCCGAGAGCACTCCGCGGAGAAGGCGAGATTGGCGACGCCATGCGGGAGAGTGATAGCCGAAAACTAGATTAAATACTGTGACAAATCAAGTCCGGGAGTCAACATACGCAGTACACCTGAAGTAATAGCGTTTTCAAGCTCACTTGGAAGAAGTTTCATCATGTTTAAGAGAGGAATCGTCATACATCCTGAAGTCTGTAACTGAGTACAACTCTCAGTGGGTGAACGCCCCATGATGCATTGCGAGGAGAGCTAAACATGGCCGCCTCCATGCTATGCTAACGTGTTGTGCGATTGATTGAACTTGTCTCGTAAATCATTGAACCGACGTCCTGTTCTTCGTTAATCGGGGATCACAAGCAACCTATTCTCGCCTAACAACTGACTGCTGTTCCCGATATCTGTCAGTGAGTATGATTAACAAAAGCTTTTGCGAATATCCACGAACGTGAAGCTACGCTAATTCATAGCAACCGGATCAAATCGAATTGACATATAGATACATGTTAGTAACATTGACCTATCAACTCTGAATTCAGTAGAGTCGTAAACACTGTTAGTCTCCACCGTGAACTACAATATCCAGTCGTGTGTTGTAACTGATCTATGACGTGTGTGTTTCTCCCATACTACTACTACTACTAATGTCAAGATTAGAAACATTATGTACAAACATTTTCACATTTTACAGACCAGTGAGGAGACAAGTTCTACGTTTCCACTAATGCCTACTACTGCCTGGCGCCGTGACACTAATTTAAGGAGGTTATTGGTGTATACGGGTGAAACGGGGAGACCCTGAGAAATATGGTTCTGTCCCGTGTAATCGTCCTAGGTGTAATACTTGTCCTTTTATTACAGACACTAATCGTATATTTGGTCCCAAGGGAGATGTTGAGGTCAAATATCCGTTCAGTTGTATCACTATGAATGTTGTATATTGCATTTCATGTATTAGATGCGGGAAACTTTATATTGGTTCTACAGTTCGTCGACTGGGTGATCGGTTTGCTGAGCATCTACGGCAAACTAGACAGAAAAATCGTTATTATCCGGTTTCACTTCATTTTAATTCTAGTGGACATAATATTACAGATATGTCTATTTCTGGTGTATGTGTTGTCAATGGCAACGAAAATCAGCTCAGGCGTGTCGAGGAGGAAACTATATTCCGCCTTGGAACTAAAGAACCCCATGGTATTAACAAACAGTTCAACTCATTTGTTGAGCTCACTACCTAAGGCGCGTTATTTGTTCTATTGTGGAATTTTTTGTGATTCTAACTTATAGTTCATGCGCGTTCTTACGTTCCTATGTTCTACCTGTACGTTATCACACTTGCTTCTATGCTATCGATAAAGAGCCATTGCTCGAAACGTCTAGCTATTTTTAATAGTTATTTAGGACTACGATTACCAAATATTATCTTCAATATATCATACTTATCAGTCCAAGCAGCGTTTATTTATTTATAAAGGTGTATACAGGGTCATCAGCTACACGAGTAAAAGCCTGAACGTCGGTATTCACAAACCGAAAAGGAAGCATTAGCCATCGTATGGGCTTGTGAACGGTTTCATACATATTTATATGGAACTGAGTTTGTAATATCTACCGATCACAAACCACTTGAAGTAATCTATTTGACAAAGTCTAAACCATGTGCTAGGATCGAACGGTGGGTTCTGAGACTGCAACCGTACGAGTTCAAGGTAACATACATTCCTGGCAAGGCGAATATCGCAGAACCCCTGTCGCGACTTATTTCATCAGAGAATCAACCGTCAATCCGAATACACTCGCCAACCGACGACTACGTTAAATTTGTTGCTGTATCTGCTACACCAAACGCAATGACAACCCAAGAAGTCGAGGAAGCGTCAGCAGATGATAAGAGCTAGTCGCACTAAGACATTGTATCGAATTTGGTCAGTGGGAAGATAATCGCTGCCAGCCTTATATACCAGCATGTATATAGCTGTGTAAACGTCACATCTCCCTGGCCAACGTCAATTGCGTACCAGTCTACAACAATACCTCCGTTTTACCTCTGAACTTTTATACTCAAGTATTTTGGTGGTTTGGTCGCCATGTTGGGTCATTTATGACAAAATTGGCATGTTTTGAGACAATTTCCTTCCCATAGGTCTTTGCGCTTTACGTAACGCGCATCTAACTGTGCGGAGTTTGGTTTTGAGGGAGTTCAAAACAAGTTTTACGACAAGTTGGCGCTTTGCAACAATATGAGTTGGCAAGTTGCAAGTCGGAGGCAAAAACTAATGCGCGCACGGATGTCATCCATCAAATTAAGTCGGTGTGGCCTAAATAATAAAAAAGAAACGTGGTGAAAAAAAGAAATGACAGGATCTCCATATTATGCACTATATTCAACTTTTTACCAAACGATAATACATTTAAATTAGGAACTTTTACAGCCATTTTAATTATTAGCATTAGAAAACTTCTTACTGAGTGAATTGTTATGCAAATTAGCAATTATCTCAGCTTCTTTTTAGTGCACATCCCAGAACTTAAAAAAAAACAGCTCCTAGACACTTTGACCTTTTGTTTTGAAATTTTCACAAATGATTGATAATGTGTTTATCTTCAAAACGATGTCGGGGCATTGTTTTTGGTTGAACAGTGTTACAACAATCGTACAGACAACTAGCCTGGGTGTTTATGCATAAACTTGAAGTAGTGAAATTTGAGCTGCTGCCCTGCAAAATTGACAACTGGTAGACAATTTTCAAGACGGCACTTTCTTCATAGTAAACAGATGTAACCAATTTTGACAGGAAACAGAAGCATGGTTTAGAAGCTATTTTTTTTTGACCAAAAAAGCACATTTTTGTGCATATTTCTAACTACAGTGACCATAAAAAAATGTTAAAATTCATACAATAAGCTTTCCGAAAATATATAGTTTTGTGGACAAGGTCATCTTGGTGTTCTAATTAACTAATTAAAATACCTGTCAGGTAAACTGTATCTCTACCTCAATTGAAGAGTGATCTGACAAGTGTTTTAAGTCATTCTCTTTGAAATGCTGTATGTATTCATACATTATTTCTATATTATTAATTTTACTGTCTTGCGTTTGTCTTTTACTGAAATTATCTGAGGTATAAGTAGTTGGAACAGGATATGCACATTGCCATCAAATGGTATGTAGTCAGTAAGGTTTCCTGTTCGACTGTTCATATCACCAATAATAATCCCAACACCTTGCTGGGAGTACTTTGTAATAATATTTTAGTTTCAAAATAATCATGGTCTAAATGGCGGTATATAAATGCGACCCAGATAGATATCTTTGTCCAGAGAAAAATAGCTTTTATCCAGTCTGCACCACATAAAATCACGCATGTCAGAAGAAATTTTATGTAACCCGTTTCTTAATGTTGATTTAAACAACAGTGCAACATCTCCCGAATTCCTTCTGCTCTTATTACATTTTCTTATCCTATCTGAACTGAAATGGCTATAATTTTCTACATCCAATACTAAACTATTACTACTGCTACCAAGCCATGTTTCTTGTACACAAAAATTATCATAATTTTCTACTACTGTACTAAAAATAAATCTCAGTACATTTGTCACCTAAGCCATGTACATTCCAGCTGCCTAGCTTTAGGTATGTTCTATTAATTTGTTAAAATACTATACTAATATATGTATATAAATCATATCTATATTTCAGAATATTATGAGTACAAAAACTTCCAATGTATCAAACTGAAAGCCAAGTTGCTAGGAATCACCAAACGTAGGGTAGATAAAGGCGAGATTAAAGTAGACGCACAGTTCAAGGAACGGTAAGCAATCACTGGAGTCTACGACATCCACCGATATCAAATTTGAGTACACCTCTCCTTTAAGTTGCACCCTCTAGCGGCGATGCACTACTGTGATGTATAGGGATGATACAAAGGCATTTGTTTTAATCTGTAGTCATTCAATAACAAACGTTTTTTATGAGATTATGGAGGTGATGAGTTACTGAGTTCTAAAATGAGTCTTTACTTTGAACAGCATTTCTCTCATTGATTTGTTGACTCCTGTGTGCAAAGCACACAATGGGAGTCTTTGCAGTTAGCACATTTTAGCTGTTCCATGACTGTTCCACTTATATCTAAAGAACCACTCATTGGATTTTGATGAAACTTGGTACATAGGTGCTCTGAACTAATGCGCAGATTTGATTAGTTTTGGGTAAAAATCTGTGCATATTAATTACTTAATTTGCATAATGATTTGTAAATTTTTGACTTTACCACTGATATCTCAAGTACTAATCATCACATTTCAATGAAACTTGGTATCTAGATGTCATAGGACAGACCTGATAATTTTCAGGGTAATATCAGTACATTTTATTTACCTCATTTGCATAATTAATTAATTTTCAGCTTTCGATATTTCATGTAGTGAGCATTACATTTTAATGAAACTTGGTACATGGATCCACTAGAACCATGCAGACCCTCTGATTAGATTTGAGGTAAATAATTGTGCATAATAATTACCTAATTTGCATAATTAAATATTTTTCAGCTCTTTTGATATCTCAAGTACTATCATCACATTTCAATTAAACTTTGTACATATACGCTCTAGGACAGTAGACAGACCTGATTAATTTTGTGTTAAAATCTGTACACATTAATTACCTAATTTGCATAATTATCCAATTTTAAGCTTTCACACTGATCAAAAGTGCTAATTATTCCACTTCAATGTAACTTGATACAAAAATGCACTAGGACAATGTACAAATCTGATTAGTTTGGGGTTGAAATCTGTTCATATTAATTCCCTAATTAGCATAATAATTCATAATTTTTTCATTCTGGTCACATTTCAATGAAACTTGGTACATAGATGGTCTGTTACATTGTGCATATCTTATTAGTTTTACACTCAAATTTGTAACTAATTAACTAATTAGTTTTCAGCTTTTCCATCGATATCTCAAGTACAAGTAATTTCGAATTAATTTTTACTGTCTCCAATACTCTCTGCATACGGGAGTTCTTTCTAAGCTTTCTTTGATTTTTTGAAAAGTTTTATTAAGACAACATTAGAGCTCATATTATATGAACTTTTCATTTCATTTCACCGAACACAATTTTGAGATATGGATAATGGGACTGTATCTGTGTGGTCCTAATTCAAGTAATTTTTGTCTCTTTAGATCGTTAAGTTTAGTTGTCACTGGTCTACTGGGACATTATGAATTACCTTTCAATGGTAGAACACTGTATGCACCAATTGATCCTAGCAAGTGTACATGGATGGTACGTATAAACTAGAAAACTGTCCCACAATTATGTGAGCATCATTAAGCTATGTTCCCAAATAGAATAATAATCAACTATTCTCGATAGTCAGTTTGACCATTTTCACAAGATCTATTTAATCCACCAAAGGTTACTACAGTAACCAGGATGCATATATGCCTGGGAACGACAATTTACAGTAAAAATCGACATCGACATCCATCTGGAAGTGTGCTCTTGTGTCAAAATTAATTAAATTTACTCCCCGTTCAACTATTGTGGCTCATCTGGGGAGGCATACTACGAGGTTATTATGAGGATACCTCAACGTATGCATGAAGATACTACAGCTAAAGTATGGGTGTCAGTCGATGAGCAGCATACTGTCTTAGTGCATACTTTGATGTATCCTAGTAATAACCTTATTATTATACATCATTACACCAGACAGTATACACCATTGCGGAGTCCAGTCAAACTCTGGTGGTAGCTTACACGTGTAATCATTCCATATTTGGAATTTGCATAATATGGTAGGATGAAAATACCTGTAAAATACTGCAAAATTACGTCATGCTATAACTTAATGGCATTATGGTGACAGATGTATAATAATCCTTGTTATTCTTACCATTCTTTTATAATATTTGTAGGTGAAAAATGATTGGTTAAAATTATACATACACAAGAGAGTAGCACAAAAGTGGGCTGATCAAAGAGGAGAAATAACACTACTTGCAGAGGAACCTGAAGAAGATGAAGTAAAAAAAGAAGATGCCAGCAATAATTAACACTTACAGCCATTCTGAGAATTATTTGGACACTTGGGTCTTTTCCAATCTAGACTTGGTGTCGTCGTATTGGCACGGCCACAATTGGGATCATTCCATTATCTTGCTAGATGTGGGTAAACGCTGTTTTCAAAAGGACTCGTGTTGGTTACTATACATTAACAGGTTATATGTTGTATATGCATTCAATATGTTATTTTAAATTGTTATAACCATAGTACAATTTACAAAACAACTCCCAAGTGTTGAGTAACCTCAGGTATTAATGAACTCGTCGTTGGCGGGAAAGCTCAAAGAAAAGTTTCTTAACAGGACGCGCTGCAGTTTGACGGCAGTTTAGGGCCAAACTAAAAGTTGTTTTTACATTACTGGTGCATTATGTATCAAATTCAGATTTCATTCCGAGGTGGGACAGTATGTTAGGGATATGTGGACGGAAAACTTGATTATAACGGTTTGATGTACTTTGTCAAATCAAAAGTGCCTTCCTTGAGCGAATCGCTTTTTCAACTGCAGTTTGAAAATGGTGGGGTTGACGACTGTTATTATGTCTGGTCCATTTTTGTAACAAGTACAACTGACTAAAATGATCGTGGGGTTGACTTTTTTCGACAAATTCACCATGCCGACAACCCCTATGAAATAGTAATCCCAAACCACACGCTCGTCAATCAAAGTATTTTGCACAGTTGCAAGACATTTTGCTAACTGACTGTCCGAATAATTCTCAGAACGACTGTAATATCGATTTGGGATTGAAAACAAACTCAAATATAATAGTTAGGAATGTGGTGACTGGCGGCCATTTTGTTTTAATGAATGCAGTTCAAGTGCAAATATCTCTGACTTGCTTTAACTGATTATGTTCAAATTTTAAATATTCATTATACATCATGTCATAGATATATTGGTCTGACGATCCTATTCAAAATGGCAGAATGGTGGCAATTTTTGTGCTAAAAAATCATCAAATATCAAGTATTTCTGTCATTTATGGATGGATTTTGTTCAAACTTACATTAGACATTATGGGTTCCTGATGCACGTCATTTTATTTTTCAGATCGGATTCAAAATGACTGACTGACGGCATTTTGTTTTAATGAATGGGCTTCTAGAGTCATATCTGTGACATGCTTTGACTGATTATGTTCAAATTTCATATATTTATTATACATTATGTTATAGATATATACATGTATTCAAAATGGCTGATTTTGTTTCAATTAATGCCTTTCCAGAGCAATATCTCAATATGGACAAGTACTCGTTTGACGATCAGATACAAATGTCAATAATTTCAATGTTAAACAATCATCATAATCATATTCCTGACATTGTTATATTCCAGCTATATTACTATAAACAAAACTATATATCTTAAATTCGATAACTAACTGGGACTTTTGCTGGGAAAGGATTGACCAGCTTTGTTATTAGTCCAAGAAAAGTGTTCAGCTTGGAATGTGTCTGAACCCCTCATTTTTAATATGTAGGAATGTACCAAGAAAAGTGTTTTTCTGGAGTAAATTGTAGTGTATTTTACTTATGAATGGTCAAAAATTGCACAGAGATTTTATGAAAATGTGTGGATGTTAACAGAATTATGTTGTTTGGTCGCAGTTGCGCAATAAATAATGGACTATTTTGGGCGTAGCTATAAAATGTGTCACCGAAGTACTCACACGTGTGCATGATTCCAAGAGTTTGTGCTGTGAAAAAACGCCATTGAAAAATAAGTATTGTGTAATTTGTAGTGAGAATGTATTCAAATAGATTTATGTTTATGAATCATGTTTCTTTTCAAAGTGTATTTATATAATAACAATTTTTAATGAAAATGTTTTTTTTATACTTTTTCGATGGATTGAATTTACAAATGATGAGTTATTTTGTTATACCATCACTCAAATTATGTGTTACGAATTCTAATAGTTTAGGCTTTGTGTTCTGTGGGCTGTTCTTTCAAGTGTCCATGTCTACTGTACACCAGTGAATTTCTTCCCGTTCGCAAGCGATTTTTGTTAATTTTGCTAGGGAGCTGTTTTCAGTTGCAACTGCTGAAATCAAGGCCGCGTTGTTTTTCTTAGCGAACGCATTTCGAAAGTTGTGTTTACTGTTACTGTACTGTAAAGTACTGTTTCGGTATTTTACAACTTGCAGTTCCCTTTCGATGGATTTTGTGTGACTGGCCGTGGTGTTTGTAAACTTATCGAACTGTAGTATTATGTAAATCTGCCCCGGGAAATCTGCAAGCAAAGTTTTAAATTGCAATTTTCACACTGCCTCATAACATGGAGTCGTCATCTAAGTATGCACAATTGTTCGTCTTGCGTTTCCCTTTTGAATTTGGGGGACTTTGTGTGACTGACCGTGGTATTTTTAAACTTTAGTCGAACTGTAGTAGTGTGTCAATCTGCCACATCGTCTCTTGTTTACCAACTAATTTAAATACGTTTGTGCCTCAACGAGGACTTAAACGTGATTTCCATTTCCTTCGTCTGTTATAAATCAACTGTATTAGCTTCCTTCGAACTTCCTATTGCCATCGGGACTATGTCTACTACACTTGGCGGTGTAGTGCTTATCGATCTTCTTGTATATATATATTATATGAAACTCACCCGAACCTGAAAATCGACGACAAATCGGGTTGGTTTCATCACGTAATTTCTTACCTTGTTCTTGACCGCAGTACTCTTGGCTATGAACTTCCACATACCCACGCTTATGGCAATAGTGCATTGGCAATTTGGCTGTGGCCATGCATTTAGTCATTGTCGACTGACTACTACCTGTAGTTGCATCATGTTTAATACATCTAATATAAAATCTATAATTATTTTCTGATAAAAATCTTTATAATTCACTCATTTTTATGTCATCTTTTATTTCAGCCTCTCGCACATCCACAGGAGTTCTTCTTCAACTTTCTTTGCTTTTCTGCCTGTTCGCCAATCCATTGCTCCAAAACACACCTTTAAATACTCCCAGCTCCGAGATTGCTCTGCAAACTCTTATTTCTGTTTCGCATAGGTTAATAAGTAGCCAAATAAAATGTTAAACATGTTTTATCTATTTACCGGACACTGAAGTTGCTGATCGCCTGTTTCTACAATAGTTATAGTATTGTTTATTGTAAACGTTTGATTTTAACATGTGTCATTTCTATATATATGAAAGATCATTTTACACGACAATTGGAATTGAAAACAAAACTCTTTGAACACCCTGACTTACTTTATCTTTCTCTGTTTACAGTGTGGTTCCACCACAAACATGAGTGACATAATACCAAGACTTATGTTGGTCAGGCTTAACTAAATATAAAAAGTCGAGAGGGATGAACAGTAATGGTTGAAGGTAAATAAAATAAACAAGTAGCCTCTCGCCTGAGATGCCCGCCTGTTAGCAATGCACATTTTAATTAAAGAACTGAAGATATCATTAGAAGATAAAAATAGGAAGGCGAACCTATACACTAAAGTTGTTGTGACAATTAGAGATACAATATGTTATTGCTCATTTTGCCTGAGACATGTATAATGTCTTATATATTATGATTGTGTCAATTTGTTTAGTAATGTTACTCATCAATATACAAATTATTAAGTATGAAAGAAATAGCATGTCCTCGTACAAACTTGTATTTTCATTACATTTTTTTTTCTGTATGTTGAATACACTGTTATACATCAAGGCATTCGCTGGTTCCCGGCGTCCCTTGAATAGCAAGTATGACGCAGGTAAATAGTAATCGCCATATTGTTCCACGAGGCTGGAATTCTATGACTGAGTGACGTAATTTGAAAACATTCTAATATTCGTTTTTCTGTAAACAAGTCATTAGCCATGCCCATACAGTCTGCCAGCTTAGACTTCATACTTGAGATGGTTCTGGCATTTCTCACTGTTTCTGTTCAAATTGATAACAAAAGAAAGTTTTGTATTCGCCCAACTTTCGAGAGTAAAGGGAACCCCTGCTCTACGGCCATGAGCGTAAGCGCCAACGTTGGGTAACCAAGGGAAATAGAACAAGCTATGAGAAAGTTATGGACCAATCAGAATGCCGGACCTATTACCAGTTACGCTCTCTTGTGGCTTAGTGTGCCATGACACACGAGGTGAGAACCAGCCAAATCAGGGCATTATTGTATATCTCTCACAAGGTCAACAGACAATCTAGCATTTAAAGGTTTAGCAGAGGAAAGGGAAAGATGGTGAATTTTAAAAACAATAATGCATGGCACAGTCCCCATTGTCGAACTTAAGATACCAGTATATAATTTTGTTTATAGTAATATAGTTCAAACATAAACATGTCAGGGATATGGATTCAGAAGCTGATGCTTGATTATGGTGGTTTTTTAACACTGAAATGATTGACATTCAGTCATCTTGTATCAAACGAGTACTTGTCCATATTGTCCAAATTGACATATATCTATAACATTATGTAGAAAGAATATATGAAATTTTAACATAGTCAACCATTTTGAATCAGATTTAAAAAATAAAATGACATGCATCAGGGACCCATAATGTCTCATGTATGTACAAAAACGGCCGCCATTGGGTCATTTTATAGTCAAACAAATATATATCATATAATATCAATATATATATCATAATCAGTCAAAGCATGGCAGAAATATGGCACTAGAACTGCATTCATTAAAACAAAATGGTAGCCAGTTGGCCATTTTAAATCCGATCTAAAAAAAAATTAGCATGCATCAAGATTCCATAATGTCCAATGTATGTACAAACGTTTGAACAAAATCCATCAATAAATGCTTGATTTTGATGCAGCACAAAAATAGCCACTATTCAGTCATCTTGAATCAGATCATGAAACAAATTGATATATATATGTATAATATGATGTATGTGAAGTTTGAACGTAATCGGTCCAGGTATGTCTAAGATATACTAGTAGCTTCCGACACACAGACCATGGACGCACAGAGGTCAATGCATAAGTCTCTACCTAATAAGTATATTTACTTGAAAGAGAAAACAAATCTACATCAACATACATACTGTTGTTGAAAGCTAGGTAAAATAAAAAAAATAATATGCAATTTAAGTTAGCAATTAATCACATTTTATTTTTTAATGTTTGGTGCTAGTGTTTTACTGAACTGGTGAATCATTGGCTAAAATTGTGTCCTTTATAATGTAATCATAAATCCATGAATATGTCTTGCAGATCAAATAATACCATAATGATTTACAGAATTAACATAATCTACACAATATCCATGTACAACTCTGTGTATCAATGTTGATGTTATTTATAGCGATATGTTATCATGAGTCACATGTGGGTGGACTGTTTCTGCATATCGAGGTACAGTATTCTTTACTTGAGCATATACTAGTAGTGAGTATACATATAATGTATTTATAAGCAATGTATGTATACTGAGATTAGCATTGTTATACTAAGTATTTGTCAGCATGTATTAAAAGCCTGAAATTGTACCCAGACTAGTCCTTTTCAGTAAAGGTTTGTGAAGGCCAAAAGAATATGCACTTTGTATCGATTTCACGAAGGTGAAAAATGTTATTTCATTGCTAGCTGTCAACCCATACAGCTTTGTTCAAAAATGACAAGGCAATTACATTATTGATGGGTCTTATCATATACAATGATTGTTTATTTTATACCATCATCTTCAACTAAGAGGGTTGTACATTGTACATACCTGTCTGTTTCTTTACCTAATCATACTTACCAGAAAATCTGTGGAAATAATGAATTTCATTTATTACTCGTTAGGCTTA